GTGGTGTGGAAAAATACCACAATACCCTTAGTGAAGGTATAATTTTGCCTTTTTTTAAGCTGTTGGATTGTTCAATCCTATGGCTGAGATTTGTTCTCATTTCTTTCATTAAGCTTCTTTTTCACTTGAACTCAACTATATATATATATATAAGTGGATCTAATAGTACCATGTACCATTTCTGAAAATGAAAACATGAGGTTCAATCTTAGCCATTGATTTGTCTAGATCAATAGTTCATATTAATAAATTAGAGTACACATTAATTATATTATAAAATTAATTATTATATTTAAATTAATTATATAATAAATAAATTTATTGACCGACATTGACCGATGGCTGGTCAGCGGCCATTGACTCGAATCTGGCAACCATCTGGGTAGGCAACCGTGTGTCAGTGGTGCCCTTTTGTGTCACTCCATGGTAGCAGTTGTCGCCGCATCCCCAAACTATGCCCTCATCCTTTACGTCTCATTGGAGACTCCCAGACGTGCAAACCTGACAAGCTCCTGACGTGGCAGTCTGTCGTTTCCCCCTGCAATTTCCACGACGCCTGTCGTAAAAATTCAAGTGTCACCAACATCGATCTCTTTTGAGGCGGGGGTGGTAGAAATAGGGCACAAATCTGAGGATAAATGCGCCCAAATAATTCATGAGGCCAGAGATGAGAGTTACAGTGACAAATGGGACTCCAAACTCATCGAGCGACGATGTGGCGCCTCTATTTTTCCGATCTATCAGCTGAATCAAGCAACCGATCGAGTAGTTGCGGTTGGCGGAGGAAGCCTTATAGACGCAAGGTGAAGGCGTCCCCGGTTGAGGCGACAATGAATAGGGTGTGATGGGTGGAGGACGACGAGGGTTATGAGAAGGAGGACCCGATTTTAGGTTGAAATCTAATATCTCATAGGGGCTTGTCTTTGAAAATTAGATAAATTGAGGGATTTAGTTGCAATTTCATAAACCTGTGAGTTATTATAATTTGATCATTTGGGGCAATCTATAATTTACTTAAAGTTTGAATGATTGCACTCTATCCCTTGAGTTTTTTTGTTATATAATTAAGACACATGTAGATTATTTATTGTGCATATTTGGATAATAGAAATGCATATTTTAGTTCATACATTATGCATACTTAGTTGAACAGTTGAACACTCCAAGATATTGCAGTCAATTGCATATTTTGATTGCACATGTAAATTATACTAAATGCATATTTAGTTGATGAACAATGCATACTTATTTGATATTGTTGTTGCAGGTTTACTTCATTACGTATTAAGTTCTTACCAAATGCAAATTATGTTCATATCAACTGCATATTTCGAGTGAAAAAATTTCTTTATACACAATTCATATTTGGTTCATAAAATAACACAATAGCATACATATTTAGTTCATACAAAGTGCGTATTCTGTTCATACGAAGTGCATATGTAGTTCATGAACAATGCATACATAATTGATATTGAGGTTGCACATTTAGTTTATACAAAAGATATATTTAGTTCATATCAAATACATATTTTGAGTGCAAATTTACTTCATACACAATGCACATTTAGTTCATACAAAAATGCATATTTAGCATACATATTTAGGTCATATCATATGCATATAATATATCATACATATGCATATAATATATATACATAGTTTAAACCAAAAACTATATTTGTTATTATAATTAATTTGATATAATATATTATATTATATAATTACTTTAATACATAATACATATTCAGTTCATTCATTATTTAAATTTAGGAAATAACAAATGCATATTTATTTCATACTAATGCATACTTAGTTGAGAATACAAAGATAGTAGCTATAGTTAGTAGGACTACAGGATATTGTTATTTTTTTACGGCACATTTAGTTTATACAAAATGCATGTTTTATTAGTATTATCTACTAAAAACTTGACTTTGGAATTTTTCCCTTTATGAATGAAGACCATGTTTGATTAAATAAGTTGTATGTTATGTTGTTTTGCACTTAGATGAAATAGTTCATTAGCGGGTGAACAGAAGATCATTTTATCAGTTACTTGCGAAACATGAATTATTGGTTCACAACACAGATGTAAATGAACACATCATCGAAACGGTTGTATTGTCAACAGTACAGTCGATCTTGACTGATTAGTTGCTTTAGTACATTTATGTATTGAACATGATCCAAGAGAGTGATAGTTTGTTTTATACTGATCGTCGTAAACAAACTTAGTCTCGGTTAATTACTGTGTTCTCTTAACCCGTAAGATATTAAACAGACATGTACATGCAGTATTTATTACTTTGATTCACTTAAATGAGATACAGTTCGCTGAGTCAATATTCTTACTGTCTTGGGTAATAATGTTGTATGTATGATGTGCTGTTAGGATATTTACGGTAACCATGTGCATTAGTTTGATGATGCCCCTGAAGTAAGTTCATGAATGATTGTTATGCTAAACCCTGCAGGTGGATTAAGTTTCATCAAAATAATAATGCAATGAACGAGCGAAAGCTTTGGTAATATAATATATTAATTAAGTATCAGTAATTGAATAAATTAATTAACATTATATTTAAACATGAGGAGGTAATTCGGGTAATTATTATTGAAGTCTCAAATTTAATTTGTGATAGGAAAGGTGAGTGCAATAATATTACGTTAGTGGACCTAACGTAATATTATTGAAGTAATTGGACGAGTGGGTTTGCCCACAGTTTAGTCCAACACTTAAGAAGCCATAATCCTATTATCCTTAGGATCTCTACTGTAGCTCCATATATAAATCATTAAAGAAATCCTACATGCAATATACACTCGCGCCCCTCTCTTACTCTAGTTTTCTATTCAAGTTTTATCTTTTTCTCGTTGCTCCACCGTTACGGGTTGAAGGGGTGTTTGAGTGATACAGTATAAGATCCCGTGATATTCGAGACCTCGTGATAAAATATATTCGTCAACACCGGAGCCGATCGCCGACCACCGTGAGCCCAGCCGGACCACCGTCGCTAGCCCACGGACAACCGATGATCACCGCTGCGACGAGAAGCCGAGCCCGCGACAACACCACAACCCCAAACGCCTAGCCAGCTTCGTGCGATGCCTGGCCAGCCTCCGGCGACCTCCGCAACAACCCCGCAAGCCCACCGCCGACGATCCCAGCCCCGTGCAATCACGACGACTTCGACATGCTGCTCCTGTCATCCCATCTGACTCATCCTGTCAGATTCAGAAAAAAATTAAGCCGTATGTTATTTTTTTACGTCAAACCTTTAGATTCGCTGCGCTTAGGAGTGAGCATGGTGAGGTTCGGTGCAAAACCGCACCGAACCGCAAAAAACCAAAAACTAAAATTTTTTATTTACCCAAACCGAATCGCACCGAAAACTGAAACCGCACCGAAATTTTTTGTGCGGTGCGGTTTCGATTAACCGTAAATTTTTTTTTTAAAAAAAAAGAAACACCCAAAATAAAATGAAACTACAACATCATCATCATCTAATCTGCAACATTACCAAACCAAAAGAGAAAAAAATGAACTGAAAGTGAAAAACTAAGGCAAAAATTAGATTTTAATGTAATGTCATTAATTTTTAATTATTATTATTTATTACTTTACTTATTTATTGTTAATGTTAGTCATCCCAAACCAAAGGCCCAAAATGAACATGTATATGTACAATAGAAACAAATTAACATATTTCTTTTTTGTAAAAAAAAATAAAAAATTCATATTCGGTGTGGTTCGGTTAAAGCCGCATCATTCAGACAAAAAATCGAACCGCAATGAAATTTGTGCGATTTTTCAAAATGTTAATCGCACCGAAAACCGAAACGAACTGCACTGAATACATCGGTTTGGTTCGGCTTTTCAGTTTCGGCTCAGTTTTGCTCACCCCTAGTTGCGATTAGGTTTACGTTTGCTATTTAATTCGTGACTTGTACATAACAAGATCGTCACAGATTCCGACAAGTGGTATTATAGCACTTGGTTAATTCGCTTTTAACAAAGTTTGAATTTTTACGGCTTTATTTGACAAGATGTGCTCAAACGCAGCCAAATATATTAGATTACATTCGCATAACTTAGTCTGCAGGAATTAAGTTAATCGAGTATTACGGTCTTTTATGTGTTTGATGAATGTTGTTGAATGTGGTGAATAGTTTTAATTGGCTTTTAAAGCCTCAGACATGTCGAAAAATTTAATGGACGAATGTTTGTAATAATTATTCACCTTGTGGACACCAGATATATTTAATTATTTGTTTAGACGAACATGTAAATCCATTCGTTGGAACTACTATCGAATCGTGTAATTTTTTATATTTGGCTTGCATATGAATATATTATTCTTATATAATCAGCATATGTGCTGATATGCACTAAAAGGATGAGGAATTTTATAATTTTATGGAATGTTATGGAATGCTTGGAATAAATATATGAGGTGTTTTATGGAATGATTTGGATTAAATATTGTGATCGTGCGATGATGACTGGGAGATCGCAAGGATCAACGAATCTCGACGACCCGACAGGTATCGGAGAAGCCGGGCGGAGGGCCCGTCGTGCATGGTGTACGGGGAAGCTGCACTGCAGGGCCTGGACGCTGGCCAACGCCGACGAGAGCTCGCGACCAGCTGCGCGTTTATCAATATACTCGTTTAAATAATATTAAGTCTTCATAATTATAATAACTAATTGATTTATCACAAAAAAAATATAGGCAGATTGATGTGGGATAAGATCATGCTCAATAGTAGTTATACCTACCGGTAAACAATATTTCAGCCAACACTTGGTACAAAAAATACAACATATATTTCGGTATTTCATCCTATATCATTCACAGTCACACTAAACCATCAATTTCATCATTCATATCATACCGGAACGAACCGGCTACATGAGCATCACGTGTGCATTACCATCGAACTCACTATCCATAAGCGCCCCCCCATTAAAACAGGGTATATTAACAAAACCAAATTCACGCCTGCTGCACCTCAACCGGGTACTTATCCACGCAGTCGAACCACGGGTTTCCTTCACACTCTTTCTCGGGAATCCTCCTCATCGCCCTCCAAACCGCACTATTACACTTGAAGCCCGACCCAAAAGCAATCTGCCACACCCGGTCCCCCTTCCCCACCCGTCCCTTGGCCTCCACATACGCCAGCTCGTACCACAACGAGCTGCTCGACGTGTTCCCAAACCTGTGCAGAGTCATCCTTGAAGGCTCCATGTCCCGCTCGCTCAGGCCAAGATTCTCTTGGATGGCATCAAGCACTGCCCGCCCGCCTGCGTGCACACAGAAGTGCTCAAACGCAAGCCTGAAGTCCGGTATGTACGGCCTCACACGAGCCCCCACCACCTTCCTCCTCACCAAGGTGAGCAAGAATGTCAACTGCTCGGACCACGGGAGGACGAGCGGGCCCAGGGTCGTTATGTTGGTCTTGAGGGCGTCCCCAGCCACTGCCATGAGCCCACGGGCCAGGCTGACCCCCACGAGCCCGCTATCGTCCTCCCGCTGGTACACGCACCCGTAGCTGCCTGGGTCAGCCCCGCGGTGTGTCCGGACGGTCTGGGAGAGCTCGTACTTGGCCCGGGCCCGATCCTGGGCTCGGTTCGAGAGGAGAACGGCGGCCCCGCCCATTCGGAAGATGCAGTTGCAGAGG